GGCGCGTCCCTGGGGTGCGGCGGCGACGTGTCAGCCGAGGGTGGGGTGGGGTGGGGTGCAGGAGTATCTGGACGCAGGCCTGCAGCACCCTCTCACCTTGTGTCCCCAAGCCCCTGGGAATATCCACTAGGGGCCCTCTGGGGTCGGAGCGCCCACTGTGTGCGCCTTCGCGGGAGTCCGGAGACCCGGGTGCATGAATACCTCCGAAAGAGGAAGCAGCCGCCTCTTCATTCCTGGGTCAAGCCCGGGGCCGGAGGCGGATCTGGGTTCTAACCGAGCTCTGGCACCCACAATTCGATTCGCGTTACTCTCCCAAAAGTCCGGTGGAGATGGGTGGCCAGACAAAACCAGGGAGGTGAATTCAGGACAGTTCCGGGACTCCGAGAGTCCCCAACCTGGGTACTAGAGCCACTTTTGCTGGCTAAGGAGCCCCCTCAGACAAGGGAGGAATGTTGAGGGAACGTCTAGGGAACCTGAAAGTGTAGGGACTCAGGGCTGGGACCCTAGAAACTGCCCGGCCGGGTGGAATTGGAAGCGCAGGCACCGCCTGGACTCCTCCCAAGGCAGTCTGAGCGACAGCCTGGCCTGAGTAGCCACCTTGAATCCCTCAAGGGCCGCTTTGGCTGGAGGAAGCCTCAGAACCGGGTGAAAGCTCCTCACAGTAGCTGTTCTGGCCTTTCACACTTCAGTCCCACTCTAGACAGCTCCAAAATGGCCCCGAGCCTCCAGCCAACCAGGAATTTGGCGGCTCGGGGGTAGGGTGCGGGGTGGAGTGCGGGGGATGCTTTTTGGAAAACTTGGGGTTTCTTTAAAAGTTTGTGTGACAAAATGTGCTTCTCTTCCTTGTGGGGAGACGTCTCAAGTTGATTACAGGCCAGAAGCACCCAGACCAGAAATGGGGTGGGGGGAGCATGTGGTAGACTTCTGGGCCTGTCTCCCAACAGCTGGTTTCATTTAGATTTTTGTGTGATTAACCGACGTCTTCCTGTTCTTGGGCCACAAGTATCTAGCGAGCCTCTTTTACCTTATAAGGGAAACCCTTTGTAGCCCGTGGAAAGCTTTGATTGCAGGAAGGGGCGGAACTCAGGATGACTAGCCTGGAAGGGGGGGGGGGTGAGTGAGTGAGTGAGTGTGTGTGTGTGTCTGTGTGTCTCGCGTACCCGCATGCGCTGCTGTTAATGGATGTTTATGAACGAAAGCTCTTTCGATTTTTAAGCAGTTGAAAATGTGCCAAGATTCAGAGAATGTGCCTCATCAATCTAAATTCTTTCTGTTTTCTTTGAAACAACTCCTGACTCAAGAAACTCAGTATGGCTGTGAAAGTTGATTTCACCGGGTGTGGCCTTGCACCTCTGCAGGCTCTGCTAGAGGCTGGGGCTGTCCCTGAGTGCTACAGTGCTTGCTTAACCTGCACAAAGCCCGGGTCCCATCTCCAGAACAGGGTGAACTGGATGAGGTGCCCCCAGCACTTGAGGTTGAGGCAAGGAAATCAGAAGTTCAAGGCCAGCCTGGACTACAAGAGACCAGTACTTAGAAAACGCTAGTGACTGCAGACTGCAGATGGGTACGAGGTTCTTTGGGAAATAACAGAAATTAACAAATCAGCTAGTAGTCCTAGCTGCATACTTTTGCTAAGTATACTAGAAACTCAAGTGAGCAGGAACCAATCATGCCCTAGTTGTTGGAATCTAATAAGCATTGAGATGGTTCAGCTGGGTACAGGTACTTGCCACCAAGGGTGACCCACATGGTAGGAGAGACCTGAGACACACAGACTCACATATTGGGAGGTGCAGTCGCAAACTTGTGTCTATGTCTATGTGTTGACAGGCAGCCTAGCCCATTCTGTGAACAGGGTCAGGGAGGACCCAGACTCCCACTTGGTTTTATAGCTGTCCCCATGTAGTAGTTACTCCTGACAGGGAGCTGATAGCCTAACTTCTTCTGTGTCTTCTTCAGCTGAGCCCGATGCATCTGGACATACATTGTATGTGATGGAATTCAAGTCAGGTCTTTACGCTGTGCAACAAGAACTTCCACCCACTGTGCTAGCTCCCCAGCTCCCCATCTCTCTCTCTTTCTGGTATTTTGGTAGAGGAACTTGCTATATAATAAGTAGTCCAGGTTAGCCCGTAGTGATTTATCCTTTGGCTTCATTCCCCTGGAGCTGGAATCACAGGCATGTGTCACCATGCTCTGCTAATTGACTCTCATGTGACCAACTTTTTATGCTCCTTCTTGAGGGTGGCCGCCCCTAGGTAACTGGCCTGGCCTCCAAGCCTCTGAGGGATAAAGAAGGGACTTACCAGCCCCGAGTCACTGAACAAAGCCACTGCACTGATGGGGCCTTGTGTCCCCGCCCGTAAGATGGGTGAGACTTGAAGATGAAACAGTAGCAGGGCCAGGAAAATGGCGCAGTTATTGAAGGTGATGGCCAACAGCTAGGCTGCCTTGAGTTTGAATCCCAGGACACAGTGGAAGGGGAGAACTAACTCCCAAAGTTGTCGTCTTGACTGTTACGCAGGTCCCTGCTTCTACACACACACAATGAATGTAATTCAGGAAAATAATGACAAAGCAGAGCAGTCAGAGCCCCCGCCCTCCGCCCCCACAGCCTTTCCCTGTGTTAGGGATGAGCCATGCCATCGCCTTTGGTCATAGCCCTTAGTCCTGAGAAGTTCAGTCTTTGACAGAGACGTAGAGAGTGACACACACAACCTGCCACTTGACCCCAGAGCTCCTGCTTTTCTGCATGCTGTGAAAGGGCCCCCAGAAAGCCTGCTGACAGGGCAGCTCCAGGGCAGCCTACTTCCTGAGTGTTCACGAGGCCCCAGGTCCCTCTCCCACTAGGAAAAGAGCAACCACAAACAACAGAAAACACCAAAAAGCCAGTAGTACTGCTTGGTCTGCCCCATGCCCTTAGCACAGCATTACTTCCGTTCTCGTCCTATCCAGCTCCATGGCCTCTTAGTGGAACTGGACTGAGCCTGTATGGGAGCCAACTCGGAACATGCTTAGCCTGGTCCCTGTGAACCCGGTGACTGGCAGCCTTTTTGAGATTCCTACCTTGAGCCTGAGAACCTTCTAGAACTTATGCTTATACTAAGTCTGTTGTAGGTTGTGGGTAGGCCAGATGAACCTAGATTGCACAGTGGGTTCTGTAGCTGAAACTGGCCTCCATCTAGCTATCCTTCTGCCTCAGCCTTCAGAGTGCTGAGATGTTGGGCTGGCCTGAAGCTCACAGAGATCCGCCTGCCTCTGCATTCCAAGTGGGCCACCAAGGCTTGGGTTTCTTTCCTGTTGCAATTAGATTCTTAGTCAGCACGTGATAGCTGCACAGGTGGTCTCTCCTGTGTTGACTTGCTTGGCCATCAGTCACAGAGAGAATCCCCCGAAGTTCTCAGGGAGACTGGGTGCTTAGACTTGCCTATAGTGTCACAGCAGCACCTGAGAGACTGAAGCAGGAGGATCCCTGAGTTGGAGACGAGCCTGGCCAATTCGTGAGGCCCTGTCTCACAGATAATCATTTTTAAAAATCAAATTTAAATTCAGATGAGAGTGAATTCTCTTGAGCCTGAACCCCTGGGGTGGGCTGTGGCTGGGTGTCGGGGTCACGGAGGGAAGGTGGTGGGGGCTGCTGCTCGCCGGCTTGCCATTTCTTAACCCGGCTGTGCCTCTGACTTCTCAGGCTGAAGGAGATGTGGCTGCTCTCAACCGCCGCATCCAGCTGGTGGAGGAGGAGCTGGACCGGGCTCAGGAGCGACTGGCCACAGCCCTGCAGAAGCTGGAGGAGGCCGAGAAGGCTGCGGATGAGAGCGAGAGGTAGGCTAATGCATCTGGCTTGGCTCAGTGTGTAAGGGCTAAAATCAGCAGCGCCCATGTGAAAACCCAACTGTGTTTGCACAGGACACTGGGGCTCGCTGGCTGCCAGCTGACCTCCAGGTTCAGGGAAGGACCCTGTCTCAAGGGGATAAGACAGTCATAGAGCAGGACACCGGATGTCCTCCTCTGGCCTCTATATGCACAAACAAATTTTAGACGGAAAAAAATGTCGAGATGGTACTGGTGACCTCAAAGCTAAAGGGAAAGACAATGGGATTTTACAGATGTGTGACAACCCTATAAACACCACATTTGTGTGGTGACTTTTGGGATTTGTTTTGTTTTGTTTGTTTGCTTGTTTACTTTTAATTCCCTTTTCTGTTTTATTCTGTTCGAAGCAGGGTCTACCTACATAGCCTAGGTTGACCTCAACTTTTAGCAAGAACCTTCCTGCCTCAGTTACCTGAGTCTTGGGATGACAGACGTTCTCCCATGTGCCCATCTTGGGTTTTTTGTTGTTGTTTTGTTTTGATGATGGCCTAGGAGAACACATTCCAACAGGCAGAGAAAAGCAAAAATGAGCAGGTGGGGGCTGGGGCCTCAGTGGTCTGCTGCTTCCTGGGGAAGCCACAGTGCCTCATCCCCCTTCTAGAGAAAAGTTCCAAGAGGATGATGAGAAAGAGGAAGTAAAGACAGAAGGGGCAGGTGCAGCAGTGCACGTGTTTTGTTTGTTGTTTAGTTTGGGTTTTTTTGTTTGTTTGTTTGTTTTTGTTTTTAAGACACAGTTTCTCTGTGTAGCCCTGACTGTCCTGGAACTCACTTTGTAGACCAGACTGACTTCGAACTCAGAGATCCACCTGCCTCTGCCTCCTGAATGCTGGTATTAAAGGCATGTGCACCACCACCGCCCAGTTAGCAGTGCACAGTTTTATTCCAGAACCAGGGAGGTAGAAGCAGGGTGATCTCTGTCATTTGCATAAATGGTGGTCCCCATGACTGGCAAGCTTCAGGCTTCCAGATGATGACAGCTGTATTGGGGACGGTATATATATAACCAGCCATCGCTGTGTACAGCTGATTATGCGGCTCTAGTGGCTTCTGTGCTTCCCGGAGTGAGTGACTCTGGTGTTGCTGTTCGGAGGGATGAGGGCAGACGGCATGGCTACAGAAGCCATGGACAGTGTGACCAGCTGGCCCAGCACTGAAGGTTTACCAGTGCAGGCTCCTGCCAAAGAACTGAGTTTGGACTGCACTGCTGTGAACACAAACCAGACACTAGACACCAACCAGGAGCTGGGGTGCTCCTGCCTAGCATGAGAGAAGACCGGGCTCTGTACGCAACACTGGGAAAAGTCCACTTTGGGCTGACGGGGTGGTCCGGTGGGTACAGGCACTTGCTGACAGATCTCATGACCCGAGTTCAGTTCCTGGGTCTCACATGGTGGAAGGAGAGAAGCAGCTCCTGCAAGCTGTCCTCTGCCCTCCACATCTGTGCCATG